GGGGGGTTGGACTAGATGACCCACAGAGGTCCCTTCCAACCCCTACCATTCTGTGATTCTGTGACCCTGATGGTGCAGCTCATCCCAACGCTTCTGTGTGCCTGGGAGCATCTCCCGCAAAACAGCCCCTCTCGAGGCCAGCAGAAAGATCAGCAGGAGCAAACTCCAGTGCCCAGAAGTGGAGATGGTGAGTTGGTATGGAAGAGCATTCAGCCCTAGAGCTGCCTGCCCATGGAAGCCGCACTAGATCCTGTTTCTCAGCTTTAACTGAACATTAAAACTGAAAGTCTGACGGCAGGAATAGCTTTATGGCCCTTCCTGCGCTGGCAGGCCAGTTTGCACTACTTCTCTCTCCATCACCTGGAGAGAGCAGTCTATTTTTTAAGCAAATCTGTGCAATATTGTGGTTAGACAGACCATGGACGAACTTCTCAGGGCTTGGTGCCAGGCCCTCCTGAGAACCCTGGTGAAATGCGACAGTGGATCTCCCTTGGGGTCCCTGCTTTCTTACTCTCTGGAAAGGCTGGCAGGATCCCCCAGCACATGGGGCGGGGGGGCTAGAGGACAGTTAGGAAACAGGACAGCACACCTGGGGGTCACAGCCACTATCTGACCCCCTGCCCTGCATCCCTCCCCCCTGCACAGCCTGTACACAGCTCCTGCACCCAGCCTGGGGCACGGGCAAGGGAGCCAGGGACACGCAGGGCAGCTGCTCTCTGCCTGCCCAGCATCCCCCCCGTCCCCTTCACTTTGAACTTGATTCCCTGTCCCCTTGTCTGTGCATCCCCGCATGGCTCCGTACCCCCCCAGCACTGCCAGCCAGAGCCGAGCTGGGGTGGGCAGAGGGGTGCATGGCGTCCTTCCATCCCCCTCCCAAACCCATGGGGGGGCCGGGGTAGGGAGGGCTCGGGCAGCCCCTGCCCTCCCCGGGTGATGAATGGGCTGACAATAGGATATTGATAAGGAATTAACCTTGAGCCCTTCTTGCTTCAGTGTCAATAGAGCAGGAGCCAAGTACACACGTCTGATTGGAAATCTGTGTTTGGCCTCTGCGCCCATCGACGTGCTGGAGAGACGAGAGGGGGCTACGAACCGCCCCGCTGCCCC